AAAAGAACAAACAAGTGTGTGGTGGAAAAGAGGAAGCTCCCCCACCACTAATGAGATGGACTGGCACGGAGGCAGAGGCAATGGGCTCAAGCATGACAACTGTCGCAATGGCGCAGGACCAGGCAGTGTTTTATTCTGTTGTGCAAAGGGTTGTTTAGAGACAGAACCAAATCGGCAGTGCCTAACAATAACAGTTTGTATGTACTATAGCTAATTTTATACTGTCAGAATTGAATATTGCATTTTTACGTTTGTTTGCATTTCACTCAACTGCAAATAGTGCCATGTATGGTCTGTTGAGTGTCTTGTGTGTTTAAGTTTTGATAAATTTTAGTTTTTATTATAAATCTGTATGTACTTTATGTTGATCATTGTTGTTAATTGCCATCATGTAGGTTCCAACTCATAACAACGCTATATAGGGTTTTCAAACCCTGTATAGGGTTTGAATAACCAACCTTGTAGACAGCAGTCTAGTGCTTATCCTACAGCGCCCCAGCAGGACTCCATATTTTATGAGGGGAAATGATAAAAATTACTATTATCTACCATGTATCTTACGCATTCACAAGATACCTATCTTTTCTTAATTTTTATTTCTAGGCTGTGTGGTTTACCTGTAGGGTTTTCAAATTGTTGTAAATCTTCAAAAATTTTTCCAATATACATACTGAAAAAAAATCCATGTATAAGTGAACCTGTGCAGTTCAAACCTATGCTATTCAAGGGTTAACTGTATTTCAACAAAATCCTTAGTTGGTTTATATTCACATTAAAATTGAACAAATAATGCTTTGGATAAATCAAATTCATTTCTATTACAGTTTTGTGAACTATACTGGATGTGATTACAGTTTCAAATGTGGTTTATAAGATTCCCTTAAAGCTACGATACTGAACCTTAATTAATCTGAATTTTACGGCTATCTCATTTGGTTCGCAGGATAATTCGATGCTGGGAGATTATTGGTTAAAGGATAATTCATAGTGGATGGCTGTGTTGGATTTCAAACACTCATCCCAGGGTGCATGTTCTTCCTCTAGTCTTCTGTCTAAGATGAGACAGTATTGACAGTATTGGCCTGTCAGTGCTGGCATACAAACTAAGATAAAAATGTAAGTGTTTGATTAATTCTAAATTGAATCTAAGTTAGGGATCATAAAAAACAAAGAGTACTAAGCCTAGAAAATTACTTGGATAATTAAGATCCCCTTTTTTCAACAATAATAATAATAATTTAAACTCTTAGTAACAGCATCACAGAGTGGTACTGCAGGATAAGTACTCAACCACAAGGTCGGTTTGAAGTGCAAGGTCAGTGGTTCAAACTCAGCAGCTGTTCCTCAGAAACCCTATGTAGGGTCAGGATGGGTTGGAATCGACTTCACAGCACTAACAGCAACAACAATAGTATGCTCCTCAAGTCGCTCTAATCTGAACAGACTACATAACTTTGTGGAGTCCTGGTGTGGTGTCATAGGATAAGCACTCTACCTCAAGGTCAGTGGTTCAAATTTATCAGCCGCTCCTCGGAAACACCATACAGGGTTGTTATGAGTCAGAACTGGCTGGATGGCACTTAACAACAACAACTTTGTAATTTAAATCCTAATAGAAAAAGTAATTAAAATAAATATTTAGGAAAATACAGTTAATAATCCTTCATCCTACCAGAGTTAAAAAAAAATCCATGAGATTCTTCTTTATTTTAAATCCTACAAATTATAAAAGGAAAAAGGAAAATTAAGAGAAAATACGGTCTTATGTAACCTGTGTAATAGACCCAGAAAGTTAAAGAGGTTAAAGACACACTTACCACTTGCTTCTGGGTGGCGAAACTTTTGCCAATGCTGGTGTGTGCAAGTTCCTGGTCCATCTGGGCCATGTATGACTTCAGATTACTAAGAATTCCTTTTAGAGATTCCACTTCCTCGGGATCGTGGGCTTCAAGGTCCACAAAGTCGTCATCACTGTCTAAACTTTCAGAGTCTTCGTGATCCAGATCATCAGAGTCTTCGTCATCCAGATCATCAGCGTCTTCGTCATCCAGATCATCCGAGTCAGACTCAAGAGGCTTTGGGCCTACACAAACACCAACACAGAAACAGCCACTTAGTAATTTTTTGTTTGAGTGCGTACATCTCTCAAAAGAATTAGAATGTTACCCACAAAGTGATCAATTGACATCATTAAACTACTTGACAAAAATCTCTTCTACAAATTAGTAATGCTGGCAGACATTCACAGAAAAGAACACAAGCTGAGTGGAAAGATTCAGCTTATAAAAATATACATAAAGTCAATTAATTATGATTTTGTTAAAATTAAAAACTATGGAATACATTTTGATGTAAACATTCAAGCCACAAAAATAGTTTTGTATCTCAGTCTCTTCTTGTAGGTAAATATCTTCCAACAGTTGAGTGGGTATCCAGATCTTTTTCTATGCACTTGTGTGTATTTATGTACATATATCTATATACGGAGTCCTGGTGTGGTGCTGTGGGGTTAATACGCCAGACTGCAAAGCTGTTTGATTTGCAAAGTTGACAGTTCAACCTCACCAGATGCTCTTTGGAAACCCTATACACACGGTGGCTATGGGTCAGAAATGACTCGATGGCACTTAAAAACAACAATAGTGTGGAGTTATAGGATAAGTACTAGACCGAAAGGTTGGTGTGAACTGTAAGGCTGGTGGTTCAAATTCATCAGTCGATCCTTGGGCTATATATACAGGGTTGTGATGAGTCGGTACTGACTCGACAGTGCCAACAACAAAAAAACATATCTATATATGTGTGGTGCTGTAGGTTAAGCACTAGACTGCTAGTGGTTCAAACCCACCAGATGCTCCTTGGATACGCTATACAGGGTCATTAAGGGTCAGAATCAACTTGATGGCACTTAACAACAACAAATATCTACTTACATAGTTCTCTTAACAGCAACCACATAATATGTATTGTGAGATCATCATTATTTAAGTGCCATTAAGTCATTTCCAACTCATAGCGACCCTGAATATGGTTTCCAATGAGCAGCTGGTGGGTTTGAATGGCCAACCTCACAGTTAGCACTCCTGTGCTTATATGATGTGTGTGTTTTGCATCCTGGAGGGCCTTCTCTATCTGAATTTATGCATGGATCTCATTCTTTAATAAAGACTCTTTAGTATTTCACAATATGGACGTACCAGGATTTAATTAACCATTTCCCTCTTGGTAAACATTTAGGATAGTCTACTTTTTGCTGTTAAATGCTGCAGTAACCATCCTAGACATGTAGCTTTCTTTCAAAATGAAAGAGAGCCAGTGCACTCTGATTCTCTTTTGGCAGCATCTTCCTTCAGTAGCTGACCCAGCTAGGCTGTTGAAACACCTAACCACTGGTCATCTGAAAAAGGAGAAAAACGGACATACAAGTTTTTCACAGAATAAATTCCTAAAAGTGAAATTGTTGAGTAACAGAACTGTCATTCTTTACAGTTCTAGACAAACTGCTTTGCAACTTTTTACACTTCCATCCCCAGAGTTTGACAGGATTCACTCTCTGATCCTTGAATACACCGGGTATTATCAATCTTAAATTTTTGTCAATTTGATAAGTGAAAAAATAACTTACTCCTATTTTGCATTTACTTACTAGTAACAGTTAGCTATTTTCAAACATTTATAGACTTTTCATATTTCTTCTTCAGTGAACAACTTGTTCATACCCTTTGTTGACTTTTACATGGTTTTCTACTGGGCTATTTGTAGTTTTCTTACTGATTTGTAAATAACAGTAAGTCTAAAGAGAAGAAGCAATATGATATGGGGTTCAAGGTAAAGTCCTACTTACATATACAACATTTACGCATTCAACAAATATTTACTGAGCAACTATTACGTCAAGCACTGAGTTAGACACCCTTTGCAAAATCATTCAACAGTGGAGTAAGATCATGGCTTAAAGCAGGTAAACCCATAGAGGAAAAAAACAAATATTTTGACTTCTAAGAGCTCCAACACTCTAGCAACTATGCTACTTACAGTTTCAAAATGAAAGTAAACATTACACTGTTAACTTACCTAAAATCTTATCAATATAGTCAACAAAAGAATCTGCATCAAAAGTGATTGGAGCCTCTGAAGGTTCTCTGCAGGATTAAAAGAAACAAGAATATACTTCTTTGAAACTTTTTCTAATGTGCTGCTAATTTCGGGAAATTACCAGAGATACAAATTTCAAAAGAGGCACAGCAAGAAAAATTACAGTTCAAAATATAAGAGTCCTTATGCTTACTTGCCATGTAGGGCAACAGAAATGGGCAAGTCTGATGAGAGGAAAGTAGAAATTGTACCTTGTGTAAGCACACGTAATGTACGCTGACTTTAGGACCTACCCACTCTCCATGCCTCACAATAGTCAGCATTAGCAACAGTGACTTATCTGAGTGAATTCAACTTAACAAACAGAAAAGAACATAGTTGCCTTCATCTCTGCTTTCTTAAAAAGATAGTGTTGTTGTTGTTATGTGTCATTGAGTCAGTTCCGACTCATAGTAATCATGTATAGGGTTTCCCAGTGGCTGGTGAGCTTGAACCACCAACCTTACGGTTCAAACTGACCTCGCAGTGCAGTGCATTAACTTGCAGCACCACACCAGGACTCCTTAAAAATACTAACTGTACATTTTAATCATTTCATAAAGCTTTATGAGCATTAACACCAACAAAGATATATTTGCTGTGCTTGTACAACAGCAGTTCCAGCTATCTCTTCTCCCTGCTATTTACTGTAATATTAAAGGAGCCCTGGTGGTGCTGTGAGTGAGGTATGGGCAGTTCAAACCCACCAGTTGCTTTATGAGAGAAAGCTGTGGCTGTTTCCTCCAAAAATGAACTAGGCTCAGAAATCCTATAAAGAGTCACTATGAGTAGGAATGGACTCAAAGGCAGTGGGTAATGTAATTAACATTTCTTGTAAAGTTAGCATATCTGTCTCCAGCAGATTCCTTCCTCCCACTTTGAGTCTGTGAAGTGGGAGATGAAAAGTCTGAGCTGGTTGAGAAATACATGTTAAGAGTCCACAATGTTGTCATGTTTAAGGAGTAAAGTACATAGTTTTCTTTCAGGCCTCTGGGATAGGACTTTCAGATCCACTGAACAGTCTTTCTGACTGACTTCAAGAATTGCAATAGATGAGGATGATAAAGTATGACAGCAAACCAGAAAGTTATCATTGTTCTAGGCAATGAAAGAGAAACAAACATAACTCCTTCATTAAAATATAGTGGAAATGGCAACGATTCAATCACTTCAATCATTTTACTTCAATACAAATTATATACCGAGGTAGTTCTGCTCCCTTGTGGGTTGACACTTTGGATATGAAAGCTTTCATGCTCTCTGAGACTTGAGTTAAGTCATAGTTGGGCTCTTCTTCCTTGGCAATGTGCTCTGATTCTCTTTTGGCAGTATCTTCCTTCAGTAGCTGACGCAGCTGGGCTGGTGAAACATCTAACCACTGGTCATCTGAAAAAGGAGAAAGCATGATATTACCACCCCACAGGTGCATGACAGGTACTCTTGTGAAGGATATTGAGGCTTAGTGGATTTTTGTTCATTTTTTCTAACCTTTCCACTCTATCCTGATCTATCACTTACCATCCTCGGGGGGAAGGCTAGCTTCTTCTTTCTTAAGGTCTTCTATATCAAATGGTGTTGTCTGCAATAAAGTTAAGATTTCTTCACCTGGGCTCACAGCAAGAGAACTAAATAAAATAAAAAAAGATAGGGGTATTTCTTTAGACAAGAACCAGACAGGCTAAGATAGACTAGGAAGAAGATTTTTTTTCTTTTAATGTTTTATTGTGAATTATGTGATACTTTACATGGGAGAACATTAGCTTTACATTCATCCTATCATATATCATTTCATTGCATCATCAACCAACCAAAGGGTATATACCCTGCAAGCCTGTCCCCCGGTCATCAGCACACAGCCCCTCTCCCTCTCTAGGTCTAGAGTCCATAGTCGCTCCATCTCTCCACATCATTGTCTCTGCCTCCATCTCTGGCATCACTGCTTCTCTGGGTAGAGTCCCGCTCTCTGCTCTTCTCCCTTGATGGTATCAAGGACCTCCACTCCTAGACTGCAAAGTTAATTACTCCCCTCCTTGCTACAAAATGTCTAACTTTACATTTCCCAACCCTCACAATCAGTCCTGATAACAATTATTCACTATTGTATCACAAGAGACCTATCCGCAATCTCCTTTCATCAGCCCCACCTAGACAGATTGGATACTACTCAGTGGAGATAAATGCAAATTTTAAAACAATACAAAACCTGCAATAACAAATCCAGAAGATTAATACCAAGATATCAGAAATGGACAATATATCAAAAGGGCAAAGGAGTGGATTTGAAACAATGGAAGCTCAAATTAGTGAGCTTAAAGTTTTTAAGCTCAATATTAGAATGCTAGAAGAACAAGCAGAAAAAAGCATGAAAAAATTGGAAGAAAGACTAAGAGTTACGTGGACACCATGAAGAGGAACAACTTATGGGTGATCTGATTTCCAGATCATGAAGAGACAATAAAAATCACAGAGAATATTGTCAAAGAGTTGTTGGAAGAAAACTTTCCTAACATCTTTAAAGATGAAGAGATAAGCATACAAGAAGCTTTATGAACCCCAAACAGTGCAGCTAACAAAAGGAAATCACCAAGATAGATCAGAGTCAAACTTTTTCCCCAGCTACTCTCAGGATACTTTCCTTGAAAAAGTTACCTACAAAGGAGCACCAATAAGACTAAGCTCTGATTTCTCAACAGAAACCACACAGGCAAGAGGGCAGTGGGATGACATATACAAAGCTTTGAAAGAAAAAACTTAAAAACCAAAACTCATATACCCAGCAAAGTTATCTTTTAAATACCAGTTGCTCCATGGGAGAAAGAGAAGGCTTTCTGCTTCCATAAAGATTTACGGCCTCAGAAACCTTACAGAGGGCCACTGTGAGTTAGAACCAACTTAGTGGCACATGGTAACCACTACCATATGAGGGAAGTAATGGGGGTAAAGTGGCTGACATTTTGAAGAAAGCAAATAAATGTTAGCTTTTTTATTATTACACTAACATTGTATTCTTTCACCATACTTATTCAACCTGTATGCTGAGTAAATAATCTGAAAAGCTGGGTTATATGAAGAAAAACGTGGCATCAGGATTGGAGGAAGACTCATTAAAAACCTACGATATGCAGATGATACAACCTTGCTTGTTGAAAGTGAAGAGGACTTAAAATACTTACTGATGAAGATCAAAGATCAAAGTCTTCGGTACTGAATGCATCTCAATGTAAAGAAAACAAAAATCCTCACCACTGGACCAATAAACAACATTCTTATTGATGGAGAAAATATTGAAGTTGTCAAGGACTTCATTTTTATTGGATCAATCATCAACACTCATGGAAGCAGCAGTCAAGAAATCAAATGACGTTTTGCACTAGGCAAATATGTCAGCTTGAGGACTAAGGCACATCTGACCCAAGCCATGGTGTTTTCAGTAACTTCATAGGCATGTGAAAGTTGGACAAAGAATAAGGAAAACCATAGGAGAATTGATGCTTTTGAGTTATGGTGTTGGAGGAGAATATTGAAAGTGCCATGGGTTGCTCACAGAACCAACAGATCTGTGTGGGAAGAAGTGCAACCAGAGTGCTCCTTGGAGGCCGAGATGTCCAGACTTCGTTTCTCATACTTTGGACATATTGTCAGGAGGGACCAGTCACTGGAGAAGGAGATTATGTTTTGTAAGATGGAGGGTCAGAGAAAAAGAGGAAGACCCCTAATGAGATGGATTGGCAAAGTGGCAGCATCAATGGGCTCAAGTGTGGCAACAACTGTAAGGTAGGCCCAGAACCGGGCAGTGTTTCATTCTGTTGTGCATAGTGTCGCTTTGAGTCGGTACTGACTCGATGGCACCTAACAACAACAACATTACCAGCAATCTCCTGTAGGACAAGTTCTCTCCACAAAGGCCAGCCCACTCCCTAATCATGCTGCTGATCCTTGTTAATGACATGTTTAAATATGGGAACTCCAGCTTCTGTACCAATCTTAAGAGTAACTCCTTAACTCCTGGCAAACTATTTCTCTGTCGCCATGCTTCACTGCTGTTATTGTTGTTAAGTGCCGTGGAGTCAGTTCCGACTTACAGTAATCCTATCTACAGTTTTCTAAGAGCTACCGGTAGGTCTGAATCACTGACCTATGGTTAGAAATCTAGTACTTATCCTACAGCACCACACCAGGAATTCACTGTGATGATCTCACCTTTCTGGTTGGTTGACTGAGAGTTGGAAGTAGTCCTTTGCCATTTCTAACTTTTCTTGGTACTCAACAGAGCCTTCCATCAGTCCCTTAAAAAACAAGAATAGTCTATCAGAATGTTATTTACATAGATCGTTACAATAACCGACACCATTAGGGGGGACAGTGTATCATTTGTTCAGGAATCCTGAGGCTCAAGTCTTAGTCGCCATTTTGTCATTAACATACCTGTTTCGGCACCACCCCTCCAAAGGAGGGGACTAGGCTAGATGCAGTAGTCTATAATCCTTTTATCTTAATTCTTTGAGTCAACAACACTTAACAACAATAACATCTACCATCTTCAAAAGTTTTTAATTAGTTATAATGAAAATATAGTTAATTAGTAATAAAGCTACAAAACAAAGCATTATAGAAAGAAAGTATGCCAAATAGAATGAAAAAGCAGCATAATTTTACCTAACATTTCTGTTTTTCACAGGCATGCTTATAATGGTAGTTAGTCATAATTATTTTATATTCTTATTAAAATTACTTTAATCTAATAAGCCCTGTTTATATTGCTACACAGTATTTATAATCATTGTATTTTTATGGATTTCTCCATTTCTTAGATATTTTCTTAAAATGTATTATCTAGAGTGAATTTCTGAGTCATGGTTTGTACTTTCCTATGATCTTGAAACACACTACCAAATTAACTCCAAAACGTTCCACAATTTACAATGATACAATGTAGAAGAGCATTAATTTTTCATTAACACTGAAAGTCATTCATATGCTTTTTAAAATTACAATCACTTTAATAAAAATAGATAATTTCACATCTATTTCTTGAACATTTTGTCATTACTGGTCATTGAAATATACACCGAAGTGCGTGTACTGACACAGCAGTAACTCTGGTGAGCTCAGGAAGGCTAAACCCTCCAGCCCTGTCACTGACCTTTATCACAGCACGTTTCAAGCATAACCCACAAAAGCACAGCAGTATAAGCTCTGCATCCATTTCCTGATTCAGGCTGTGGCCTCCAGTTAGGGTAAGCTACTAAATGTACTAAAGGCAGTATGTAGAGACATTCACTACATTTGCACTTCACTTTAATTCCCTTTTGGTAGAAAGTAATTCAGCTACTGGAATCAGCTGGAAAAATAAAGAATACTGCTGTTCTTCAAACCACAAAAAAGCAAACAGTTTCATTTTAGCTGGTAGAAATATTTGGAACATCTTGTGCATCTGACAAATGGATTTTTTACATGAAAAAATTCAATTCTTATAAACCGGACAGCACCTGTCCAGAATGGAGTCACTGGCTACTTTTCTCTTATCCTCAGAAAGTCCCTCTAACTGCTCACAGAGCCCCAAATTCAAGCGAGTCACTGTCTCTTGCATTCCTCGAACACGTTCCATCTGTCAATGGAACATTCGTTTCCAAAAGCTTAAAGTTTCACAGAGTGGGAATCGTTCAGGAGGCCTCTCTCCATCTCTTGCACGTCAGAAACATCGGGGAGGACAGAGTGCTGAATCGGAGTCACCTTTCCCTTCACTCTTAACTAACTTTGGTTGCTGTGAAGCTGACTGTGTTGCAGGATTTGAAAACTCTGTGCTTTTACTCACTGGAGTGGCATTTCTCTGGGCATTAACAACCTGAGTAGAATGGGCATTAAAAGATTTTTAGAACTCCTCCTCTTTACTGTCCGCTCTTTCACTGTTAGAAGTTCCTTAATGCACCAAGATCAGCTTCGTACAACCTGAGAAACAAGGGGATCAGAGTCCCTATTCTGTAAAGACTTCGGAGCCTCTGCAATCACCATCACAAGCTGCAGCTTCAGTCAGGTACACATCCTGGTCCCCAGGCCTCCACAGCCCCCTTTCTCATATCCTTTTTTGTTTGTTTATTAAATGTTTTTATTTTGGATTGAGTGAAAGTTTACAGGGCACATCATCAGCTTCACATTCAACCATTCATATAGCTTGTTTCATTACATTGATTATTATCCCCTCCATATATCATCAGTTAACAGTGTTTCTTCTCTCTATCCCCTTTAGCTTTTTTTTTTTGGTCGGGGGGAACTTGTCTTTTTGGAATTTACAGTCTCGGCTTTTAGGGAAGGTTTTTACATTTGTCTGTGGATATCCAGGGCTCATGTATGAGATTACTAACAAGCATTACTGAATAATCAGATGAGGGACAGTTTGCTATGTCTACTAGGTGGCTAAAGTCTGATCCTCAGAGCCTATGGTTTGGACGGTCAACAACGCTTGGGCCCACAGGGTCTTAACCTCCTGACCGGGTCTGCACGGTCTGCATCAGATTCCCCCTTATTTATTGTTTGTTTAAGGGACGCTGCCTGTCTTAGGCAGTCAGTGCGAATTCCTCAGTCTTACCCATCATCGAAACTCATTGCAGCATGGCAATGGCTCTGTCTTAGGTTGCCGAGGTTCCACATGATCCTTACCCGTCTCTGGCCACACGTCCAGCATAAACAGCCGCCATCCGAGGAAGGCAGGAAGGGAGGAGATCGGCTGGGGACCCCATACGCAAGACGTTGCCAGCCCACCACCTGCTCTTAGGGTGACCAAGCAGGATCACTATGCTGAGGTTCAATCAAGTTCTTAGGGGATCTTACTCTCTAGCAGGGGTAGCAAATTAGTAGCCACTCAGTGCTCACTTTGAGAATTACTTATATCATAAATTTGAGCATGTAGCTGATGAATATCCACAGACAAGTGGATATTATTCCACAACCTCCTAAAATGCTGTTGGATTAAGTTCCAATCAAGTTCTAGATTACTGAAAGATAACACAAATCTACTTATACCATGAATAACCTTAGCTGGGAGTGTAATCTGGATATATTGGGTCTTATTTCCCTTAAGCGATCTTCCTTTCTCTAAATCATTTAGTCTGTTTTGTAAACCTTTATCTATTTACTCTTGGATCATATAAGCGAGACTAATATCCCTAGACAGTTGATTTACATGGTGGGCAGGGCAAAAAAAGGTAACAATTCCTATTAGTGCAGTGATTCTTGACAACTCATATCCTTTTTAACATAAGTAACAAAACAGTTTTCATTACTGTCATCAAGTGCATATCTTTACTATTGTTGTTGTTGTTGTGAAGTGCCGTCGAGTTGATTCTGACCCATAGCAACCCAGTATAGAGTTTCCAAGGAGCAGCTGGTGAGCTTGAACTACTGACCTTGAAGTTCAAATGACTTTGCAGTCTGACGAATTAGCCCACAGTGCCACACCAGGACTCCTCTCTACTGTTAGTGAGGATAAATATTTTAAGATAAGTAAACAAGCTGTTTTTGGTAATCTTTTTATCTATGTTTTTACTCATTTCTATTTGGTGACTTATATCTTATCAATTTGTGCAAATTTTTCACTGGACATGAACATTCACTTAGTACAAAAATTTCCTCAATTACAACTTCAAAGACCTTTAGTTGAGTGTCACTGAACAATCTTCTATGGCTGTGTTATATATTATATACTGATCACAGGGTTTTAAATTACTGGCTTGATTTCCTCTAAAATGTATACTTAAAAAATAGATTATCACAAGACCTACCTTAAAGTACTCATTCTTTTTCAGACTGTCAAGGAAGCCAGCCCATAGAGGTGAAGTAGCAGTGAGGGATTCCTTGGAGTTAGAAACATGTGGGCTACTTTTGGAGCACAAGATCTCAAATCCATGAGCCTAAATGAGATAGTTAAAATCTTTATTAAATTGCTTTCTTTCATTTAGCCCCACTCAAGGATTAGGTGACTAGGTACTTGGTTATGTGAACATTTATGTAACTTTTCAGATTTTATTTAAAACCTGTAATTATTTCCAACTTTTAAAAAATCTCTGCAATTACCAAAAAGCAGGAAGGGAAAGCAAGTAATAATAAAGAATCTTCTCTCTCTTCAAAGAGATTTTTTCCTCCCTTGCCAGTTAAGAAAATAGAAAATTTAAACTTATTTCTTGTTTGCTTAAGCAAAGGCTTGTAAAAGGTTTCTTGCTTAACAGAAAAAACAAATAAATTGAGCATGGTCTCGGATATAGCTATCAAAGGGAATCACTTCATTTTCAGAGTCCTCTGATTAAAAACATACATTTACAAGATAAGTAATTGATGCACATGGAAAAATAACTAAAACAGGGAGCTTCTATGATCACTCTAGAACAAACTGCTGCCAATTTCTTGCATGTCCTTTCAGCAGACATGCATGTGTGTCTGTTGCATATGGACATCCGCATATTCCACTCTTCTGGACATTAGAGGGCACCGCACACACTGTTCTGCACCTTTTTTCATTTAACCATACACCTTGTAGATTAGTTCACATGAGCACTAAGTACTTATCTATCCCACGATAATACATTATTTAATGATTCCCCTACTAATGAACATTTAGGTAGTTTCCAACTGTTTTGCTACTATAAACAATGCGTCTAAACTATCTTTGTGCACATGTAAAATACAGAGTGGGTAAATTCCTGGAAGTGAAAATGGTGAGCAGAAGGGTTTTAAATGTTGATAGATATTTCCAAATTATTCTTTGATGAGAACTACCATCAATCCTGAAAGTATTTCTTTCTCAGTACTCACCACATCAACCCAATAAATTACCGAATATTTTGATATTTGCCAATCGGCGAAAGATAAAGAGCTAATTCTGATAGCGTAGTGGTTATGAGTTGGGCTGCTAACCACAGGGTCAGCAGTTCGAAACTACCAGCCATTCCATGGGAGAAAGATGAGACTTTCTGTTCCCATAAAGATTTACAGCCTCAGAAACCCTGTACAGGGTCACTATGAGTCAGAACCGACTCCACGGCACACTACCATCACCACCAATAGTGAAAGACACTGTCTTGTAGCATTTAAAAATTATAAGCAAGACTCAACATCATTCCTATGTTTAAACTGAAAGTATGTATACTTCCTTTTCTGGGGACAATCTGTTCATAGGCACTCTTGACATAATAGGGAAGTCGGATCTTTGTTATTACATTGCATTTACAATACTGACAGAGATTGAACATATTGTAACTTTCCGTATAGGGTTTTGCTTTCCCGTGTTAAGGAAAGGCCTGATGATTGCTACTGAAAATGCCATGAAAACTGTTAGCACAGCTCTACTCTGACACACAGGGGGTCTCTAGAAGTGGGAATGGACTCAACAGCAACTCGTTTCCTTTTCCACTCAGAAATGCCCAGTTCTTATCTAGTCAAATTTCTCTTCTGATCTGAAATGCCATATTATATATATTCTCTTATAAATTTAGCAGATTCTTAGACTTTCTGTGTTACACCACTTGTATGTGAAGAACATTTTACATAAAAAAGAAGATCAATTTCTGGTTCAACATTACCAACTTCATGCCCAGTCTGTGGGCTCGATGCTGGGGATGAGAGGGCAGCGGCAGCTCGTATCCACTTCGCCGGTCAGGTATAAAAATTTGTTGTGACAGCTGTGCATACAGACACTTAGTGAAAGTGACCTGGGCGGGGACAGAAACACACGAGACTTCTTCAATATCACACTCCAATATCATCTCATGGTCAAATATAGCAACAGCTATATTTGAAGAGATACAAACCAACAATTCACTGCTTACTTTTTTTAAATCAGCTTCACTGAAATATAACTGAAATGTCATTAAATTCACCCTCGCTGACCATTTTTAGCTATCACTAGTGGTATATGATATTTTGAGGAAGAAAAGAAAAATAATTATTAATTCTCTAGAAGAGACACAATGCTTTATTACGAGGAAACGAATTACTTCAAATACGGAAAGCATCATCAAAATTAGCTAGGAAATGTAAGTTATAAAGCTGTGAGTCATGTCTCTCGAAAAATCCCCCACTCGGAGGGAAAAATTTTAAATGAGTATTAACTTGCTAGAAGCCAATAGAATATTTCTATTTTTTTTTAGTGAACAACTAACATAATGGTTCAATTCTCTTTTCAGTGAGAGAAACTAAACAGTCAAGACAGACAACTTACCGAAGTCATTATTCGTGTATCAGGTAAGAATGTTTTGAAAGTTCGACAGGCTCGCAGGTCATAGGGGTCCCGCAGATAAAACGCCCGGACTGCTGCCGCCACTAATCGGGGGCGCTGCTTTAGCACGACTGCAATGCCAGCTGGGATGAAGCAGTGCGCTCGATGAAGGGAGGCTTGAACTTTTTCTGGGTACCTGTGATAAAGAACATTATTGCTTTTATACAATTATATGTTTGTGGAAAAATCAAGAACTTTTATACAATTCACCACTCCCCTAATATTCTTGTCTTGTTTTATCACATGAGTAACACGAGAAGGGAAGACACAGATACTGTATACACTTAAGGTTATAGGAAAGAAGAGTGGGAAAGAGAAACAGG